TCCGCGTACGAGGAAAATCATTCCAACTCTCCAGTTCACTAGTTTTTTGGCTCTCGAGTTAGTGACTTTCGCGTCAAAAATTTTCACGTGGATATATGTGACATTTTCACGTGGATATATGTGATACACAGGAGCTAAATCTGAGTTTATAAGATCCCTACACAGGCAGAAAACACCGTCCTAAAATTTTAACCCCCTTGCTGGATCGCACAGAGGCAGAAAACATTCTCCTAAAATTTCAGTTTTCCTAACACATACACGCACGCACATACAAATTTTTCCCGTCAGAATATTCATGGGATCCAAGCGTACATGAAAGTTGAACTCAAATGTGTGGAGTCACACGTGGGCATGGGACATCCTCCTAAAATTCCAGCTTCCTAGCTTTTGTGATTTCCCAGGTAATAAAGTTTCCTGCCAAAGTTTTCACAGGGCTGTGCTTGGCACCCAGACGCGTGTGAAAACAGTTTTGCTGGATCGCACATAGGTGGGAAACATTCTCCTAAAATTTCAGCTTCCTAACTTCTGAGGCTCTCGAGTTGCAAGTGCCAAACAAAACACATACATGTACGCACATACAGACAGGTACATGACAATGTGTGCTTCATGTTGCTGTTACAAAACACAAAACGTATAAAAAGCTGACACAGGAAATCCTAATTTATTCATTTGGTTTAGATTACCAGTAGATTATAAAAACAGAGATTAAATGAACCTGCCGTATCCCATCATTAGCATACCAACTGTTGCATGTGCTGCTGCATAAATACTATAGTTGACGTTGTCCCGATGTGAATCCGGAATCGTTACACGAGTGCGAAGAAGGCGACAGATACGAAGGACTTGTAAATTTCCACTGCCAGCCATAAGCTGAAAATAACAGACAATGGGAACTCTCAGAAAACACCCGCGTGACGGCGAAAAAACAGATGCTCGTTCAAACCAGTGCCGCACAAAAAAGACATAACACATCTTTGTATTGCCCAATTTTGAAATAAATTTTTTTTTTTGACTTTTCGACGCCTGTATAGAGCAAAAATAGTAATGCAGTCAATCCACTGCTTGCAGGTACTCTTGTATGCCAAATTTTCACATAGCATTCAACTCTTTTTGCAGATCACAGATAGAGAAGCATAAAAACAGCTTAAAAAAGTACAGTGTTACTTTCCGAATCGAGATCAAAATCAGCCGACCAAAAGTGGTGATGCTTGGTCACGGCAAAAGCAGAAAGGCTGCGATGAAAGGGTGCTACGATAAGAAGAAAGTTCACTAAATTATCAAAATGGGCAACTACTTAGCTGAAAAAATTTTTTTTTAACACAGCCAAATTTAAAAATCGATTTTTATGCGTTTTGTGCTGTGTAACAGCAGTACAAAACGCATATTGTTACGGGGTTGTATGTGTG